GTACTGCAAATGTGTACTAATAAAAATAAATAAAATAGGAGTAGTGTAATTTGTCAGTGAATTAATAATATAATCTTTTCATGTATAAAGAATCTTGATTTATGTGAACTCAATTTAGTACATTATGTATGAAGCATTTTGTAGATTATTTCCATATATCAAAAAAATGGACTTGTATGGAAAGTGGTATATGTAAAATCAGATCTCTTGTATTACTTTAGAACAAGTACTCAAGTCAACTAAACCCTTTTAAGTTTTAGCTACCATCATTCAGTATGTGCAAACTAAAATCATACTTTGAAAATAGGTTTGCTGGGGATTTAGCTCAGTGGTTCCGATGCCTGCCCTGCAAGTGCAAGGTCCTGAGTTCGATTCCTGGTACCCAAAAAAAAAAAATAGGTTTGACACTCGCAAACCAAAATTAAACTGATTTCTACAAAACTTGAAGTCAGAGTGAGCTCATGAAGACTGTCTTAATCCTGCTGAGAAGTTACTTACAGGTACATGTGCTATTAAATTTGTTAATTCAAGGGCTGGGGATTTAGCTCAGTGGTTTCGCCGTCTGCTGCGCAAACACAGGAACCCAAGTTCAATCCCCGGTACCAAAAAAAAAGACAGGGTAAATTTGTTAATTCATCCCTATTTTGGTGCCTAATGGTTAATAAAGGAACAGTTGTATGCACATAGCAAAAAAGAAAAGGTAATTGGCTATATGCATTGAAATTTAACACAAAGATCTTTTTCCCTGTTGCTGCAGGAGCAGAAGATAGATCACTTTGTTTGTAACTATATCTTAATGACCTAGTTTTGCATTCAAGACTTCCCCCAAAATGATGGGTATGAACACTAGGTGAGACATTAAGAGGTTTCTTCACCAGCACCAGCAACACCCCTTCCCCCCTCAAAAAGGAGGAGGTAGCACGGTGGTGCACACCTGTGATCCCAGCACTCGAGAGGCTGAGGCAGGAGAAGTCTGGTGAGTTCAAGGGCAGCCTGGGCTACATTATGAGTTCAAGGCAGCCTGAACTACATGGTGAGACCTTGTCTCAAAAAAAAAAAAAGGAGGCGGTTCAAGACTTTGGCAGTTCCTCAATCCCAGTCTCAGCAGAGTGTGCAAGTTCTCTTTGGAAGGTGGCCTTATTTGAAGAGGCTGTATAGATGATTATAGTTGCTTTACAATTCTGAATCCTAGACTCTAGGCCTTTAACGTACCCACAGTGTGATCTTCCTTTGTGAATACCTTTCCCATCTTTAGGGTAAGTAGAATTTTCTTCCAGTCTTGAGCACAGTGAATCATGAGTGCAAATTTAAATGCTGAGAGTTTACTCTGCCAAATGATAAACCCTCTTCTGCCACAGAAACCAAAAACAAGTAACAATAAGTGTGAAAACAGTTTTAAAGCTATTATGTAATGTAACTAGGGATTTTTAATTGAATTTTTCACTAGTAAGTGAAAGGTATAAAAAGCTGGTTTGGCTTCCTGTGGAACATGCTCCACACTGGTGACTGAATGCCGGGTCATTCTACTGAACCACACTGCAAGGCCTTTTTTTATTTTTACTGAACTACCCTGCAAGCCCTTTTTTTAGTTTAACTCAATAGCCTAGGCTGGACTCGCAATTCTCCTTCCTTAGCCTCCCAAGTACACGGGATTACAAGTGTGTGCCACCTTGTCAAGCTAGAAACTTTCTAGAGCTTTTCAAGTCTTTAGATGTCTTTGGAAGAAGAATTCCATTTTCTGCACAGAACCTGGCAGTAGTAGTAGAAGCTTATGTATTCATTCCGCGTATGTGAGCCTTTGCAAGTAACAGTCAGAAGTGAAAATGCTACACAGCAAATTCACCTTGGCTGCTTTGGGAAAAATCAGAAAAGTTACTGTTTAGTTACATTATATTTTACTTTGGGACTGTAATGGATTTTCTAATATGACTCCTTTTTGAGGTATCAGAAGTAATGAGTGTTAGTAAGGACTGTTAGGAGATTAAAACTGATTATTTTAATCATTTAAATGTATGGCTTTAAATCAGGTACTCATAGTGTGCTAGCACACTTTACAGATACCAGTCTAGGGGCCAGGGAATTAGCTCAGTGGTGCCGCCGCCTGCCTCGTAAGTGCAAGGTCCTGAGTTCGATCCCCGGTACCAAAAAAAAGATAACGTCTAAATTACTCATTTAATTATCAGGTCTGTTCAGTGGGGTGTAGGTTTCCTAATACGAACTAGAAAGCTGTATCTTATTTCCTGAAGATTAAGTTTGATCAGATGCTGGATGCTCCCTGACATTTAAATGAAATTTGTTGAGGATTGTTTCTCAAAGTCTGTATTCCCTTTTCTGTTGCTCATCTGGAAGTGTAGGACGACACTTCTAAAATCCGACTCTCTGCTTGGGTAAGGTTCAGCGTGTGGGACTTGAGGTGCAGTAGTTTGTTTGCCACAAACTCTCCTTAATCCAAGGCTTATTACAGCAGGTATGACTATTTGAATTTCTCTTAAGACATTTGAGAAAAATTTTGTTTGAAAAGTAACCAAGAAGTAGATGAGAGTCTTCACCAAATATTGTTATTTATTCACATAAACAGTCTTAAGATGCCAGGCAGCTCATCAAATTTTGGACTTTAATGGGTTTACTTTTTTGACTCTTACAAATTCTGGATTTTTCATTTTTTACTTTATTCCTTCACATTTTGATTACAATTCATGTTTTCTTTTTAGAAAGTACTTGGATCTAAAGTGAGTTAAGGTATTCTTTATAATCAAATCTGTGCCAGCAGGTTAAGACTGGGTCTGACCTTGACATTTCTCCATTCCTCAGGTGAACCGTGCATAAAGGCCAGGCCGTTTGTAGCCTAAGCACGGCTCCCATTTTGAGCATTAATGGCTTTGGCTGGAGAATCTTGGGAAGGGCTTATTTAGAGCTACTTGGTAGCATTTGCCTTAACATATAAGAGAAGCAATTTGCATTTAAATGTAAAAAATAGGGATTTGAAGCCAGGCTTGGTGGCACACATTGGTAATCCCAGCACTTGGGAGGCTGAGGCAGGAGGATCACTGTGATTTTTAAGGCCAGCCTGGACCACATAGTGAGACCCTTTATCAAAAAAATAAAATAAGGATTTGAAAATTTAGCATCAGTATGTTGATTCATTAGACCACATATGGAAACATTAACAAAGGGCCGAGGATTTAGCTCAGTGGTTCTGGAGCCTGCCTCGCAAGCGAAAGGTCCCGAGTTCGATTCCTGGTACCAAAAAAAAAAAGAGAAAGAAACATTAACAAACTTATGTTGGTGTGTTTGTATGTGAAAAACCAAACTAGGTTATAAAAAGACTTTTAAACCTTTATTAGTTCAGATAACTTCTATACAAATAAATGGAATACTTTTACTATTGCATGTGATTGACCATATAATTAAATGTATCATGGCCGGGGATTTAGCCCAGTGGTTCTGCCACCTGCCTTGCAAGCGCAAGGACCCGAGTTCGATCCTCCGGTACCAAAAAAAAAAAAAAATTAAATGTATCATTTGGGTACCTAATCTCTAGGAGGATTCTCTCAAGAATCACAATAAATTTCATATAACAAGGCAGGTTCTTGTAGAAACATGTTTACATTCCTCTTCCTAATGCAGCCTTATAAAAATGAGGACTTAATAAGGAGATACTACTTTTAATATTCTTTTCACACATCACCTTTTGGACAATAAATTCTGAACTAAACTCTGGTAGAAATTACTGGTTGTTTTCTTAAAGGACTTAATAAATTAATGGGGCCGGGGATTTAGCTCAGTGGTTTCACCGCCTGCTGTGCAAGTGCAAGGACCCAAGTTCAATCACCGGTACCAAAAAAATAATAATAATACCTCAAAGGACTTAATAAATTAGTACAGTTTAAGAAAATAGTCAGGTGCAGTGGCACACACCTGTAATCCCAGCACTCGGGAGGCTGAGGCAGGAAAATCACTGCAAGTTCGAGGCCAGCCATGGCTACCGTAGTTCAAGGCCAGCCTGAACTGTATAGTGAGACCCTGCCTCAAACTGCTCCCCGCCAAAAAAAAAGAAACTAGAGATATTTTGTATTTGGTCTAAATCCTGTCCACGTAACTAAATAGCCAAGTCTTTGAGTCAGATTGAGTCTGTGAAAGGTTCTCATGAGATGCAGCTAGCTCTCTGGTATATTTTATTATGCATGTGTAGCAAGTGAGGAAATATGTTTTACCTTTTCACATAGCATCATTTGAGGTAGACTGACTCACTGTACAGACTGCCTTGAATAGTGACTTATTGGTTAGGTAAGAGATTAGGACCTATAAAATTTAAAAGTCCGTAAGATCACCCTAGGCTGAGTGTCGTGGTGTACTCCTGTAATCCCAACACTCGGGAGGCTGAGGCAGGAGGATCACAGTGAATTTGAGCCCAGCCTGAACTACAGAGTGAGACCCTGTCTCAAAAAAAAAGAGACCACCCTCACCTCTGACACCTGTTGAAAGTTCAAGAGTTCCCAGGATCACCCTCAGGCTCAGTAATTCTCTAAAAGGACAAAAAGAACTCACTGAAAGCTGTTAAGAGCTTTTTATAGGAAAAGAACACAGATTAAAAAAGCTAAGAAAAGAGGCATTTTGGGGGAGCCAGGAGGTTCCAAATTCAAGGATTCTGTTGTCCTCTCCCAGTGGAGTCGTGGACAGTGCTAACTTTTCCCAGCAGCAGCATGTAACAGTACACACAGAGTATTGCCAGCCAAGCCAGCTCACCTGAACCTTAGTATGCAGTGTTGTGATTGGGACTTGGTCATGAAGACATGGGTCACTGCCCAGTGGCTGGCCTTTAACTTCCAGCCCCTCCAGAGGTTGAGCTGTTACTACAGCAAAGCTCAAAGCCCCCACATAAATCATTTTAGACTGGTGTGACCCAGAGTTCCCAAGTAAACAAAGGCCATTCCAAAGGCTTAGAGCTTATCCCCAGGAGCTGAGGGCCAAGGCTAGACTTCTCCTTGGGTAAGGTTAATTCTTTACTACACGTTTGCTTTACTTTGTTTGAACTTTAAAGAAACACCCCAGCTGGGGATTTAGCTCAGTGGTTACGCTGCCTGCCTTGCAAGCATAAGGACCCAAGTTCGATCCCCGGTACCAAAAAAACCCCCCCAAAACATAAAGAAACATCCCAGAGAGAGTTGGGATTTAGGTCATTGGTAGGGGACTTGCCTAGCGTGCCTGACGCCATTGGTTCAATATCCAGCAGAAAACACACCCAAATACCCCATAGCACACCCCCACACACACACAAAGATTAAGCTCTGCCAAAAACTTCCTCCCTGACACTGTCATCTGAAGATGGGAAGGCAACATGTAGTACTACCTACCATGCACAAGGTCCTTCGTTCAGTCGCTGGTCCTTCATGGGGTGGGGGGAAGACAGATGTTCTTACCTAGATAAGGGTTGGGACACCACTCATGTTACAAAGGCAGGAAGTACGGAGCATTCCTATACTTGGAGAGGTTTTTTTAATTTTGTTTTTGTTTTTTTTGTTTCCTTTGTTTTGGTACTGGAGATCAAACTCGGGACCTTGTGCTTGCAAGGCAGGTGCTGGAACCACTGACTTAAATCCCCAGCCCTGGAGAGTTTTTTTTACAATAGAAAATAGTTTGGAAAATTAACCACTTACCAGTGCAATTTAAATACAGGATGACCAAATACTGCATTTTTTAAATTATTTATTTATTTATTTTTTGGTACCGGGGATTGATCTCGGGACCTTGTGCTTGTGAGGCAGGCGGCAGAACCACTGAACTAAACCCCCAGCTAAAATTAATTTTTAATATGTAACAGGAAATATAAAAATGGCAATTTTATCAAATTTATTCAGTGCAAGAATTGACTGGTTGAAATGACACCTGCCTAAGTGACAGTCAAGATAGTATGAAAACAAACATGCTGCCAGAGTGACACTTGGGGTAAACTGTTAAGTGGTTAACTTTGGTTTATATATTAAAAGTGAGGGTTGTTACAGAAAAGATTTAATGTTTATTTTCCATTTTTTCTAATCTTTTGAATTTGAGAAACCTGAATTATAAATCAATTTCATCTCCCTGGCAAAAATGGCAAACCAGGGACAGGGATCTGTTAGCTCAGTGGTTCTGCCACCTGCCCTGCCAGCACAAGGACCTGAGTTTGATCCCCAGTACCAAAACAAAACAAAAAAAAATGGCAAACCAAAGCAGTCAAAGAGATTCCCTAAGTATTATGATAAATAATATGAAACTCCCCTTGGGGACAGGAATAATATCTTTAAAAAACTGACTGCTGAATAGGCTTAGCACTGAATGATGGTGGCTGTTGAGGTAGAATTATCTGAATAAATTAAAGCCGTCACAATACTGAAATCCGTAATGTTAAATACTTTACTGTTATTCCCTTTCAAACACTCCTCCCAACCACATCCTCTCAGAGTAACAGCTTTATTTTTTATTAGATTTTTTTAGTAGTACATATTTGTGATATATATTGAATACATTCATCATGGGGAATATATATTATTTAATATATATATTGTTTTATATATATATAGTGTGTGTGTGTGTGTATTTTTTTTTTTTTTTTTTTTTGGTGTTTTTTTGGTACTGGGGATTGAACTCAGGACCTTGGGCTGGCAAGGCAGGCTTGGTGCCACTGAGCTAAATCCCTGGCCCTTAAAATTATTTTAAATGGTTCCATTTTTTTTCAACATTATAGGCAGTTAAGGCTAAATATACTTATGTTCCTACATGGTATTCTTTTTTTTTTCCCTACATGGTGTTCTATAATCAAATACAATTAAAATACTGTTCATATATTTGGTGATTTAGGACCATAACCGAAGGAACACTAAGTCATAAAGAGTATCTATATCTTTGTTATAAGGAGGACCTTTTTAAAGAAAATACCTAAAGAACAAGCTGAAATGTGCAAGGAAATTATATAAGACACTGATTAGGAAGGGCCAACTGAACTAGAATAGTAAACAATCAAAATAAGCAGAAGTTTATTGACTGTTGAATTAGGAGATGCCATTCACTTCTGCTCACCTGTTCTTCCTTTTTCTTCTGGTAGACTGTAAAGGAGTAAATGTGTTGAGCCAAGTGTGACAGTTAAGTTGGACTGTCATCTTTATTGCCTTGAGAGCCACTTAGGGGATTATTAAAGCACCTGCCTGTGTGGGTCATGGAAGTGTGAACTGGGTACTCTGTCTGTCCCCTGGCCCCTTCCTCTCCTGTGCTGTTCCTGGCTCCACTTCCCATCCACCATGAACCAGCCAAACAGCTTTGTTCTACCATACACTTTCACCGTATACTCCTGCCTTGGAGGCACCTAACCATGGACTGAACCCTCTGAAACCGGAGCCAAATTAAACCTTTCTTCCTTTAAAAGTTGTGGGTGTGCGTTAGGTGTTTTGTACCAACAATAGGTAAATTAATACAGAAGGCCAAACTGTAGTTTAGTCCTCTCACTGGCCTCGAGCATGGGCTATCTCCTTCACTGTAGCAGAGAAGTCCAAGAATGGACTTGTCTTAAATCAAAGGCATTTGTTGGAGATTTAGTAATAACTGATCTGTAGGGACCCAGCCTCTGCCTAATTGAAAAAATAGCTAATTGAGCTATAAAAAAGGGAACAAAGGCAAATACTGACTAACAAGAATCACTCACAGGGAGTTTCTGAATCAGCTCATATTTGTAACATTTAACATAATTATTTTTCTTCCTCCTATTTTGAAAGTATCAGCTTACATCATGTTTTCTAAAAGGAATAGAGGCTGGGAAATAAGCAGGTATGTTTTGCCTATGTCTCTTACAGGTCCCAGCAGAGACGGAACCATCAGCGAGGACACCATCCGGGCCTCTCTTATTTCAGCAGTCAGTGACAAACTAAGATGGCGAATGAAGGAAGAAATGGATCGTGCCCAGGCGGAGCTTAATGCCTTAAAACGAACAGAGGAAGACCTGAAGAAAGGTCACCAGAAACTGGAAGAGATGGTCACCCGCTTAGATCAAGAAGTAGTAAGTAACTCATTGAATACTTGCCAAGTGTTCTGTATATATCCTGGATATGTGTATAATACGAGTTCCAAAAATTATAGGTGTCTTTAGGCATTTGAATTTTAGCTTCTCTAATGTTTTGTTAAAAATGGAGCCCGTTTTTGGTGTTTGACCTTTGGGAGGTGAGTGCTATTTAGAGCATTTAGCTTGCACCTCAAGCCCAGGAGATAATATGTTTGACCCAAAGGAAGACTGACTGAATACTTAGTGTTGCCACACAGTTAGAGGAAATAGGAACTGTAGAGTTCTAAGCCACTGTAAAGATCTGTAAATTCTGTGTTGCAGATTTAGGGTTTCCAAATGTTCTGAGCCACTCTTAAAATTACCTTCAGCAAACTGTTCTTAGTAATCCAGAGATACCTGGGTTTGACTTAAGAGCTTCATGTAAACATACTGTGTGCCCCTGTTAGCTCCTTAGACTATCTCATGTTTATACATGTTGCTGTGCCATGGAGAGTCAGTGCATGAAACAGCCCTAAGGCTCTGTTTAGTGACGCTGAAGTATAGGCACTGGCATAATTTGAGCACCAACTTCACTCCATTTTTCATACCCACAAGGGAAAATTTATTTGAGGAAATGTAACATTTTTGATGACAGAGTAATGAAAAGTTTGTGGGCTTTGGGGAAGGTGATTTGTATGTACACATTATCCTTGGGAAGTGGTTCTAGCCAATGTATAATGTGGGTTCACAGTCGCCAGCTATTTTTAGATGTTCAGGAAAGAGACACCAGTGTAATTTACAGCCTGTTGCCCCCACCTCTAAGAAACTGGAGGGGTGTTCAGGGCTTTGCACATTGGATTCTCTGCATAAATTGAGGAACGTTATTCCGCTGGCAGATACCCATTTGTTTGGAGGAAAACCTTTTATGATTTTCTGTGTAAAGGAACTTCCTGCTGGAAAATGTCCTGTCTGATGGCTCATTTTGCAATATCATTTGTCACTGTTGCTTAATGTGCTCAGCTAAGGGTATGTGAGATGCCATTACCCTGTTTTCAGTCAGCATCTTTGCTCACACCTTTCCCTCTCATCTATGAATTATTTAAATACTGCTTTATTTTGGTTTTTTTCCAGAATCGGGGATTGAACTCAGGACCTTGCACTTAGCAGGCAGGTGGCAGAACCACTGAGCTAAATCCCTGGCCCTTAAATATTGCTTTATTAGTCTTCCTTTGAAGTTGATTTGTGGATGTTTAACAAGAAGATAATTATGTATAAATTAGTATAAAGTCATCATACACAAACTGTTCTGTTTTTAGGCTGAAGTTGATAAAAACATAGAACTTTTGAAAAAGAAGGATGAAGAACTCAGTTCTGCTCTGGAGAAAATGGAAAATCAATCTGAAAACAATGATATTGATGAAGTTATCATTCCCACAGCCCCACTATATAAACAGATTCTCAATCTATATGCAGAGGAAAATGCTATTGAAGACACCATCTTTTACCTGGGAGAAGCCTTGAGGCGGGGAGTCATAGACCTGGATGTCTTCCTGAAGGTAGGTCTTCCTCACTCTCCTTCCCACATTTTGGAACCCCTACTGCACGAGCACTGACTTTGTAAACCTCAAACCAACTGGGTTTCTCGGTCGAGCAGATTAAGATTATCTTGCCAAAGAGCAAGTGAGATGTCTCACCATGAGCAGTGTCTTTTTAACCTAGCATGCTGACGATTGGTCTGAGGAAGGGAAGAAAAGTGGGCTGGTGGCTGCAGTTCCCCACCTGCCATGCTACGCTGAGGTGAACTCCCCAGGGTGAATCAGAGGCACAGATTTCCATTGGTTCTTTCACCTAAATTCACATTACTGACTGCCCACCCTCATTTTTTATTTCTTAATGTTCTTAGGGTTCTGTAATTTTAGACTAGCTTTTACAGCTCAAACAGCTCTCCAAGGAAGTGGGCTGCTCTGTTGAATGAAGGTTGTTTCAAGCTCATGGTGTCATACAGACATGAAAATCTAGTAAACCAAGTTTGGAAACTGCTGCTTGTTGGATCATGGAAAACAGCATTTAGGAGTAATGGCCAACCACTTTTTGGATATTTGATTCAGCTGCTGCTGGTGCCTCAATGTATATGCAAGGCTAATCTTGCTGATTTTGCTTCTCTTACCTGTCTGTGAGTGAGTGGCCAAACCACAAGCCTCAAATCTGAGGCAAACACATGAATGATTGGATATAAAACAGAGACCTAAGAAAGGGCTCCCTTTCTAAACACCCTCTCCTACTTGGGTGACATATATTAAGGAAAGATGCACTTGGAGAAGCAAGAGAAGTATGGTATTTGCTCATTGGACTACAGCCGAAACCTAGCCCTGTGTTTCTTATCCTTGCCCTTCCCCTTCTTCTATCCAAGGAAGAACAGAGAACAGTTCAGTAACTTTTTTTGGTGGCACTGAGGATTGACCCCCAGGGCTTTCCAACTGAGCTACATCCCTAGGCCACTTTTTTTTTTTTTCTTTTGAGACTGGGTATTACTAAGTTGGTAAGTTGGCCAGGCGAGGCTCAAACTTTCGATCTTCCTGCCTCAGCTTCCCAGAGTGCTGGGACTATGGGTGTGTGCCATGCCCAGCCAATTTGGAACTCTTATTAGAATCACAGTACAAGTTCCCCTAGTGTCTTGGTTATCTCAAGATGTAGCTTAGGGCTGGGGATGTAGCTCAGTGGTAGGGCACTTGCCTAGCATGTATGAGGCCCCGCTTTTAATCCCTAGCACCAAAAAAACAACAACTATAGCATAGAATTCTGAGCCAGATTGTGCATGATGATGGTTTCCCTGTAGTTCATTTTGAGGATGCAGACTATTTCCCCTAAGATCTGCTAGATGTGGAATTTTAAAAGCCACATGTAATGAGGTAGTGGTTCAAAACAGGTGGATACAGGCAATGTGTTTAGGATTCTTGGGTCACGTGTAGGTTATAAACTGTTGCTTCATAGCTGGCCTGGATTAAACCCTAAACTGTTGAAACTTTTTCCCCCTCCCAGCATGTACGTCTTCTGTCCCGTAAACAGTTCCAGCTGAGGGCACTAATGCAAAAAGCAAGAAAGACTGCCGGTCTTAGTGACCTCTACTGACTTCTGACACCAGCTGGAGATTGACCTGTTCTAGAGCATTCTTTTCTTCTCTTCCTTTCTCTTGAATCAGTAGGTGCCCAGAATAAGTTATTGCAGTCTATCATTCAAGTGTAAAATATTTTGAATCAATAATATATTTTCTGTTTTCTTTGGGTAAAGACTGGCTTTTATTAATGCACTTTCTATCCTCTGTCAACTTTTTGTGCTGAATGTTGGGACTGACTATGCTAAATAAAATTTGTTGCATAATTTTTCTCTTTTTTTTTTTTTGGTACCAGGGATCAAACTCGGGTCCTTAGGGTTGCAAGGCAGGCGGTGGAACCACTGAGCCAGATCCCCGTCCCAATTTTTCTCTTCTTTATTGGACTTCTTTAGGAAAGATCCATGAAATCTTAAGAAGCCCTTCTTTTCATTTAGCAAGCAAAGCATAATGTCCATCTTAAGTTACAATTTGTATTATTTATTCTATAGAATATAAAGAAAGTTCTATTTCACATAGGATGTACCACATAGAAACCTAATTTTGAAATATTTGAAATTGAGGGATTTAAGTGACTGTTTTCTGTTCAAGGCCAGGGTGGTGCCCTCCCACCATTCCCACTAGATCTCTTTCCATTCTAAGCCTGGCTGAACCGTAATTGTTTTCATCAAGAAAGTACACAATGGTGGGTGCCAAGCAGTATGTGTGAGACCTGTGCTAAATAGGCGAAGTCTGGCTGCGATGAAGGGAGAAGGCCACAGATCTTTTCGTGGTTCATAGCAGGATTGCTGGGTTTTCACACCACTGTGAGAGATGTGCCTCCCTCGAGCCTTGTTACAGCATCAGTGCATTACCCACCCAAAGTGAAAAGATTTTTTAATTTAAAGTGAAAGTATAGCATTCGGTGCCTCCCTGCTTTTACTGTCATTTGAAGATTTGTCTTCAAGGCAGGTGATACCATAACCAAGCTGAAAGCCACCCAGTGAGCTACATAATCCTGCAGAGAACATCCAAGTCGAACAGAATGTTCTTCAGAATGAGAATACTAGGACAGAAGAGAACATTCTGATGTGTGAAATGTTTTTCTTCATGGTATTTAGGGAAATAGGAAGCCCAGCCTATCCTCTTCCAAGAGAATAATGACCAACTTAGTCATCATCATGGGTTTATTCAGTTCAGATCTTTTCTTTAAAGATTAAAATCTACTTGCAAAAATTATCAGAATAAAACCCAGCAAAATCAAATCAAGGTTTTATCTAGTGTGAGGATTAGAATTAACATTTAGATTTCTTTTGTGTAAATATACTTTTACTTTTACCTTGTCAAATCATTAACATAAGTTTGGAAGAAATGCTCATCACTAGATGTCCATTTTGTAGCAGCCTATCTGCTAGTCCCACAAAACTGAAATGTATCAGTAATTTCTCCTAGAAATTTTCATAGTGATTTAAATAATGTAAACAGCAGAGTTAGGAAGGTAATTTCAGAGATCCAGAAGTTAACATAAAGCCAATTTGAACCCTGACAGTAAAAACTGTGGCAGTTCTTTTAAAATAAATATAAGAAATTACTTGGTAATTATGATCACACACAAAAAAGTAGAAGTGCTATAATAAAAGGATTAGAAATAATCTCATCCCTGTAGCAGAATTCAGTATGGAAACTAACTTCCAAAGTACCAAAAGCATGGAATTAACTATTGTGGAGAAATCACTTTCTGTGGAGATTTTCCCATGGTGCAGATCTTCATCACTTCTTCCCTGAACTCAGACCCCTCAGAGGAGCACCAGCAGTGTTTACATCACACAAGAACTAAAAGAAAAATACCCAACCCTATTTATTACACGTATTCCACTGTGTAGCACGGCTGTGTTGTGTTGCCTTTAAAGACGTGCTCCACTGTGTTGCCCGGGTTGGCCTGGAGCCTCTGGGCCCCAGCAGTCCTCCCCATCAGGGCCCAAGAAGCTGAGACTGCAGGTGCCACCACACACCCTGCCACACCTCTGCAGGTTCTCTCTTAACTGTTAAAGTTCCCTAGGTGATTTTCAACTAGAAGTGTCCAACAATACTACCAAAAAGTTCAGATGTCTGAGCCCCAACCCAGACCATCTAAATCAAAAACCTCTAAGGGCCAGGGATTTAGCTCAGTGGCATCGCACCTGCCTTGCAAGCGCATGGACCTGAGTTCGATCCCCAGTACCAAAAAAGAAAAAGAAAAAAGTACACAGAAACCTCTAGATGAGGGATCCACAGTCTGGTCATCTTGTGGAAGTTCTCCAAACAAAAAAGTGGCAGCTTAACCCTCCCAACTATAGATAGTTTTAACTTCTCTCTCTATAGGTCCATCTCCATAGTCAGAGCTGATACTAGATGGCTTTCAGCCAGAAGAAACTGAAGTTTGCTAGTACCTCATCTCTTTCCTTAAATTTCCCCAGTTATGCCCATCCCTTAATCTGAGAAATTCATGTTACTTAGATTACAATGCTGATCTTTCTGAACTGGAGTTGTCCTAAGTTAAATACAAACTATATCATGTTATTTAGTTCTGTATTAAACCATTATAATCCTAACTATTTGTAGGATTTCCAATAATGATCTCATGTTTTTCAAGTTTGTAGCTATTTTTGGTGGATCCTTTTATATTAAGTAAATGTGATAAAAATGAAAACACTATTAAGAGTGCTTAAGTGGGGGCTGGGGATTTAGCTCAGTGGTTTCACCACCTGCCTCACAACCGCAAGGACCCGAGTTTAATCTCTAGTACCAAAAAAAAAAAGTGCTTAAGGGGAACTTTCTGCCCATCCAGGAGCTATTTTACTTTAAGTTTCTGTATGATCAATATATTCAAAATACACACATTTTAGAGGAAGCAGGGCTCAGTGGTGCCTACGCCTACCACTTGAGTCTCCATCTCTCCGAGGATCAGCCCGTGACAGCTTTCAGAGTGGACCGAGCCTCTGCTGAGTAGAGTAACACGAACAGACAATTTTCAGATCGTAGCCACTTCCAATACCACTAAGAAAAAAAGCTCAAGTAAGAAAAGGCTCTTACTGAAGCAGTGACTCATTTTCTAAAATTTTATCTAAATGAAAACTGGTAAATCTGATGGAGGAAAGAATGGTTCTGTATCCAAATCTAGTTATACACCAACTCCAGTCATATCTACACATTAGAAATAAATTATGAAAAATCTTTTGTTGCTACTCTGCATGCCTTAGTAAGCAGACACACAGTAAATTTACTCCATAGAAAATTATGAGAAAGTCCAGCATGGTGGCTAAAATTACAGACATCCTGTGTGCATGGAACAGAAGACTTAATGAAATACTACTAAAACTGGTCTACAGGTTCGATTCAATTCAATTCTTGTCGAAAATCTCTGGCTTTTTTCTCCCCAGAAATTGACAAGCTGATTCTTAAATTCACACAAAATCCAAAGGAACCAAGAAAGCAAAATTATTCTTGAAAAAAAAACTAAGTTGTAAGATTTTAACACTCAAAGCAACAGTAATCAACATGTCTCTAAACACTATTGTGGCGTGAGCTTCATGATAACATTAAAAATAAAAGAAGTCCGTCGCCCGCCTTGCAAGTGCAAGGTCCCAAGTTTGATCCCCAGTACCCAAAACAAAAAGTAAATAAATAAAAGAAGAAGATAGAGAAAATATATATAGTATCAGTAAGCCAACCATAAAATAAAAATTTTAAACCATTACTTCTAAAGGAATGCAGGATATTAGGGCAAAAAGGATAAGGGTAAAAGCTATCATTCACTAAAAATGGTGTTGGAGCCATGTACACATAAAATTGTGGTGGCACATGCCTGTAATCCCAGCACTCAGGAGGCTGAGGCAGAAGGATCACCAGGAGTTCAAGGCCAGCCTGATCTGCATAGTGAGACCCTGTCTCAAAACAAACAACAACAAAATATATATAGAATCACAGAACTACTTAAATAGCAGGTCTCTATATCAACATTTAAATGAACAAATAAACTTAATTAGGTACTCAGTTTTGGCCCACCCACTGATAAAAACTGTTCCAAAATGACTTTAGAACAGTACAATAATTTGAATGGTCCTAGGCTTCTGAGCTTGAGACTTACAATCAACCACCTGTCTGAACATTTCTTATGTTGTCTTTTCAAATATCTCAAACATGTCTCAATTGGGTATCTTGATTTTTTTTTTCTTCTAAACCTAATACTCTCAATCCTTTGAGAACAACCCAACCTATGTAAATGGAACTACTATCCAATTAGTTTACTCCTGAGAGGGAAATATCTAGGAATTACTTTTGATTCCTCCCTTTGCTTCACTACATGTAATTTATCAGAAGTCTTGCATTCAACATATATCTTGAATTTGTCCGCCTTGTGTATGCATCAATAGAGTCTACTACAATTCTGGAGAGTTGTGCAGTAAACTACTGCTACTTCACTCACTTCTCATATAGTAACCTGTGAAACAAACCTCAGCACAGCCTTTAGAATGTAAACCATGGAGTCGTATGATTAAATTAGCTTTCCATAAACACTAATATTTAAAGAAATCTTTACCACAGTATATACACTGGTTACAATTTGCAATTAAAATACATGTTACTCTAAGAAAAAAGATTCTGAGATTAATTGGTATTTAGAATTTAATACTAAGTTCTTCCTTGTGCAGAGTTATTAAACTTATCCTCAAGAAAATTTGTCACTGCTGGGAGTTTAGCTCAGTGGTGCAGCACCTGCCTGGCAAGCGCAAGGCCCTAAGTTTGATTCCCAATACCAAAAAGAAAATTTGTCACATAGATTGGTAATGATTCACAGCAGGGACTGTATCAGGTAATACTGGAAATTGTTAAACATTTTGCTGGACTAAGTGTAGCTTTTGGTTTTTGATTTGTGGGGGTGTTTTGCTTGTTTGCCCTACTGGGAATGGAACCCACTGAGCCACATCTCCTGCCCTTTTTGAGACAGCGTCTCACTAAATTGCTGACTGGCCTCAAAGTTGTGATCCTCCTGCCTTAGCCTCACAAGGAGCTGAGGTTACAGGCATGTGCCCCACAACTGGCTCACTGTACTCTTAATTTTAGGAAATCAGTACTCAATTTTCATTTAAGAAACAAAAAAATCCTGTACTTTTTAGAGTAAGAGGTTAAAATGTGGATTGTCCAGCAAAGAATATTTACATAGACATAGCTGTAGTGGGCCAGGGATTTAGCTCAGTGGTTCCACCGCCTGCCTTGCAAGTGCAAGAACCAGAGTTCGATCCCTGGTACCAAAAAGAAAAAAAGAAATAGCTGTAGTATGAAAAGACTCTGGAATAGGGAGATCTTGGTTCATTCATTCATTTCTTCAAATAATTACCTCTTGGGTGCCAAGTAAGTAACTAAAGAGTTTAGGTTTGGGAGTCATAGAATTGGGTTCAAATCCCTACTCCATCACTTTTATTTAACCTCAATTCACAAATGCATCCTCTGTAAAACAGTATAGGTAATATTTGGCATTTCCATGAAACGACTGCCATGTCCACTGCCAGCCCACTGTCTCACCCTTCAGTTTGCCTTCATCAACATCCACAAAGGTTAAGTTCATCATTCACACCCTAAAAGATATTAGGGGTGGAGGGAGGGAATACTTGAGTAACTGGAGTATGAAAAAATTCTTATGTTGGTAATCTGTGTCTAGCTTGTGAATTACTAGATACGGAGAAGTAACAGATTTCCTCAGTGTTTCATGATGACAGAAAGTCCAAGCCCAAAGAGACACCAATTGCAGAGGAAAGTCTGAGCTCATCATTAGGAAAGTAAGTCAGAAATTGTTTTAATAATACAGTGGTCTTTTAAGGAAGGGAACCTTCTGTTCTTTTAAATAAGTGGACTAAAACAAGGTTCTTTCCAACCCTAAACTTGTATAGTTCCATAGTCGGACAATATTATCTGCAGAAAATAATACTATATACTTCTACCACTACTTCCCACATAAGAAAGGAGTTGCCCTGTCTGCAAAAGAAACACTAGAAGATAACAAGAAACTAAATTTTTGCCTGTAGTAGATGTTGGAAGAAGTTGTTGGATGGAAATTGGATGATAGTACAATTTCTCCAGATGTATCTTTTTAAAAAATATTTAAGGTATTGGGCATTGAATCTGGGGTTTCCAGACTGAGTTACATCCACAGCCCTTTTATTTTTTTTAATTTATTTATTTATTTATTTTTTTGGTATCAGGAATAGAACTCTGGACCTTGCGCTTTCGAGGGAGGTGGTGGAATCACTGAGCTAAATCCCCAGCCCTCCCCTTTTATTTTTTGATACAAGGTCTCAATTGTCCGGGCTGGGCTCGAACTTGCAGTCCTCTTGCCTCAGCCTCTCAGTGCTGGGATTATGTGTGCACCACCACACCTTGCTCTCTAACTCTCCATATATACCTTTTAAAATTACTTTTATTATTTTTGAAAGTGGTAAATGCATTGCCTTTTGGAGTAAGATGTTTTAAGTAAATATTCTTGTTCTTGCAGTACCAGGGATTGAACCCAGGGCCTTGAATGTGTACTAGGCAAGTACTCTACCACTAAGCTGCTATGTCCCCACCCCTTTTTAATTTTACTTTTGAAACAGGGTCTCACTAAATTGCCCAGGGCTGGCCTCAAACTTGCAATTGTTTTGCCTCAGCCCCCCAAGTACCTGGGATTATAGGCATGTATCACCATGCTTGGCTTATGTCTTCATCTTTATTATGTATTAAAACTTTCCCTAAGGACCGGGGATTTAGCTCAGTGGTTCTGCTGCCTGCATCACAAGGGCAAGGTCCCGAGTTTGATCCCCAGCACCAAAAAAAACAAAAAAAAACTTTCCCTAAAAATAAAACACCTTTGTGCTAGTACAGTACTTTGAAATAAGCAATCAAGTATCTATATCTTAAGCACAAGTCCAAACTTAAACTGTTCAGTCTTTTTAAATTATTATACTTGGTACAAATCTAAAACCAAGCCCTTTACATTTTAAACGATAACTGATTAGCCAAGGAGTCTAAGCTGTATCACTAGGAATAGGCTGTTACTTAATGAGATGTAAACTCCCTCTAAATACTCTGAATTATTCACAGAGATTGGAGTAGTATGAGTAGAACTGTACTGATAAAATTATCTTTGAAAGATAGTTCTTAAAATGTATGTTAGCTCCATTACCAATGAGCACACCTAGCAAATTCCACTCTCCATTAAAAAGAATTAGAGGGCCAGGGATTTACCTCAGTGGTTTCGCCGCCTGCTGCGCAAGCGCAAGGACCCGAGTTCAATTCCCAGTACCAAAAAAAGGAATTAGAGTTCCTTGGTCCGAAAAAGGCTGATTCTAGGACTGGTGCAGAAAATAATACAAAGTGAAGAACCAGTAAGTAACATCTTGGATCTCCAGAAAGTCAGGAAGTGCTCAAAAAAACCCCAAAACTTTATATTAATGGAGTGAAAGGGGACAGAGTCAAAGTAAGAGGGGTCCCAAAGGCCAAAGCTAGAACAATTTGAGAAACAAAATGAAGCAGTATTACCCAAAGGATAAGATCCATGACCCCATAATTATACCGATAAATAATTGAATTCATCAATAGAGGAGAAATAAATCCCTCATACAGAAGAATTAATCCTGGAAGGTTGACACTGCACCCTCAAGGAAAGAGAGCATGACCCTTACCCTAAAGTACAGAAAGAGGAAAAAGGGAACTCTACAGTAGGGAAACTTTATTCCGGCAGCATTGGCATTGATGAATCCTGTTGACAGTATAGACCCTGGATATGATAGGATGAAAATGGCCTTTACCTCTGTTGTCCTTCCTACACCCCAGAACCCCATTCTAACCATGCAAAAAACACCAGGCAAATTCCAGGGAGGTGCATTCTATAAAATACCTGCCCAGTACTCCTTAAAGTGGCCCAAGTCATCAAAAAGAAAACTCAAATTGTCACAATGCAGAGAAGACACGGTGACTAAACGTAATGTGGAATCCTGGGTATTATCGCGAAACAAAAGTAAAAAAATTAAGGAAATTTGATATGTCAGTATTGGTTCTTTAATTGTAATAAATAATCTACCAAAGTATGATGCTAATAACTGGATGGGGGATGCAAACTCTTTACTATCTTTTTCAGGTTTTTTTTTTGTAAACCTAAAACTGTTGTAAAAAATAAATACTATAAAAATGTATTCTAACTCAGTCTTTCTGGATTCTTTTATTTATAAAAATGAAGGTAAGTAGAATATTCAGTCTTTGTAGTCACAATCCAGTGCTTTTTCCCTTTTAGCATGCATGTGGCTTTTAGCAGTTCTTTCATTCAGCTGTTTCACTAGCCACTGCCTCAACTTAAGATACATCACTTAAATAAAACAAAATGGATCTCATAGTAATGAAAATTTCTATATTACGGTATAATTCAGTAATTTTAAAGATACTACTGTTTCTCTACTAGGATTGTACCATAAATTCCCACCGATAAATTACTAAACAGTTCCTACTGAGAATTACTTCATCTGCAAGGAGCCTTTACGATATCCCTGGCTCCTTAAATTAAAGAAGTTGCAATTTAGGGCAAGGAAGAGGAGAGACTGGAGTGAGCCCTGACCTGGGACTCCGTGAGGGGCAGTGCACCACATTTTCTAAGAACGCTACAGTTGCCACAAGAGCTTGTGGTCAGTAGCTGAGAGAGTGCCCCTTCCCCGCAAAAGAAGGCCTTCCAAGCAGAAATGGTAGAAGATTCTTTTAATTGCAAGCTTTTCTATACATACATTACCTGTATCTGTATACCTAACCTATTTATGCAACTTGAGATAGTCTGCTCTTTTTTTTCCTTTGTAAAAGATTCTTGTATTTCCTTTTCAGGGTTGCTGTATTAGATAGTACATGTTAAGCAAATGGGCTTACAGAAACTGATTTCCATGTATGCCCTTTGCTTCGCTAGCAGTGAGGACACCGCTGATAATGGCATTACAGTTGCTAGAGAAAAGTCAGTCATGAGTAATTTGTATGATTGGCAGGAGCAGCAGTTGACAGGAACTGCTATTCTTAGTGCCATAAGGCCACTTAGGACATGCGGATGTGTATGAAACCTAGGCCCAATCTTTTAATGATTCATGCCAGTATTGAAACCTATAAAAGGACAGCTTGAGGAAAGGATAGGTATTCTATTAATAAAGGCAAAATATAGTTCCGAGTGTATGACTCAACTAAAACTTTCTGGGTTCACATCTGGGTAATACTGTTAGAAAGGATTCTTTTTAGTCCTGTCTCTAGGCATTAAATGGGAGAGTTAACTTCTTCAGCTACACTCATACTAAAAACAAACACTACAACTAGACTAGGGACGGAAGGGAAATGAAGTAGAGACTGAAATGAGACTTAAAGGCAAAAGATTCTTGTATGGTTCTAGTAGGACACCAACTATCAACTGACGCGCGCTGTTTTTACCTGCCACTATTCCTCCCTTTCTTTTTATTAGTGAATCTGTTTCTGAATCAAGCAGTTACTTCATACTGATCACACCAGGGAAAGTGCCATGTCAACATACTTTTCAGAGATGCTTCTAACGTACGATAGCATCGTAAAAGTTGGAAGGAGGCGCGTTCTCTGGGCAGAGCCATGAGAGAGGGGCACCCGGTTTTTCCGCGTTACCTAGCAGGAGCTGGGTGGGGCCCCCCACTCCCTGCACTGGGCACAACACGACTAACTGTGCAGCGGCCTTGCCTCCAGCTGAGGAAAACGACGTGCAAAGCACATAACTTACTGTTACTAAGATGCTGACAGCACAGGCACAAAAACCCATCCGGTTCCTGCAGCAGAGATCTTATTGCTATCAATGGCAGCCTCTGGAACGAAGTCCTTAATGCTTCCGCTTCCTGGTCACCATTTCGGAAACCGAACAGTGAAGAAAAACTGCACGCCATTTCCAGGTGTGGAACTGGTCTGCAGTAGCGGGAGCGAATGGGGAACCCTGGTCCCAGCGTGGCAGGAAGCGCCGCAGCCACCAGCACCTCCGAGTCCGTAAGCGAGCCAGGTGGCTGCTGCCGGGGAGGCAGAGAAGGGAAACACGGGACTACACTTCGGAAGGCACAACGCCACCCTGCTCCCCGGCTCCGGCGCCAGGCACCTCGGGCCACGCGCCCTGAGGGAAAGGCCAGCCGCCCCAAGTGCTGCCTGGGAATAGAACCGGGCCCAGGCGAAGAAAGAAAAGGCTCCCTAAGCGCTCTAGCTGCTCTTCAGGACTCCTGTAACCCTGCTGACAACAGCTCAGACAACAGGTGAAGGAAGACTCACGACGTAAATCATCCACCTTGCCACACCGGCCTAACACTGCGGCTGCGCGGGCTGCACCCGCTGGTGCAGGTCCGAGGGATGGGCGTGGCTTCCCCCACACATCCGGACACTGGGCCTGCGCCTCAGCTTCCGCCGCCCGCACCTGCGCGCCAGTAGCCACGGGGGTCCTCATGGTGGGCGGGCTTCGTTCACTGCGGCTCCCGGGTCTTCGAGCTCACCCGGGCAGCAGGTTAGACGAACCCCCGCGGCCCTGGAGCCGGGTACTGTTTCCCCAGGATTCATCCGCCAGAGAGCCCACCTGGTTTTATTTCTAGCGAGAACTCGTGTGCATGTATCCGAAAGGGGCCTTTTGACTCTCATTTGGGAATTTTTCGACAGCATTGCAGGAGAAAGGGACCCAGGGACTACTTTCTACCAACTCGAGTATAAGCTGAAGTAGAAAAAGCTTAGAACCCTCTATGCAAAAAGAATTTTGAAATAGTCCTAAGAATTTTATCAGTATAGTGCTAATTGCTAACCATTTATTTCTTCAAGTGTAAGGGAAAATTCAGCTCATTATTTTGAAAGTAGTTAAATGTAAAATCCACACACATCCCCAATTCCTCAGGCTGGCTAATCTAAGGTTTCCTACTTCTTTTCTTGCACCATGTTTTAGCTAATCAACTGCTAGCTAACTCATCTCTGAATCATAGTAGGTAATACAAACCTTAAAAACTATAAACTGTAGAACAGTTAGGGTTTTTCCCCTTCATTTTCACTCTTTCAAGAGCCTTTTTAGACACTTCCCCTTAACATTCTGCTTTTTCTCCCCATGGTGAAATTAAATACAGCATTAAGGAGTGAGAATTTGTCAGGTACTGTTGAACTTTGGGGAGTCAAACTCTTGATCTCGGGGCCCGGGATTTAGCTCAGTGGTGCCGCCGCCTGCCTCACAAGCTCAAGGTCCTAAGTTTGATCCCCGGTACCAAAAATAAACTCTTGACCTCAGATATTTTCCACCCCCACCCCCCAGCCAATTATCACCCTCTTGGGGACAGTGTTGTCCCATTGAGGATACGTGGTGTAGCACAGTTTTACTTCACAGAATATTCTCTTAGAAACTATATATTTTTTAGCCTTTCAGTCTCTGTAAAGATTAGATTTGTTGTTCAACAAGAACATGTTAAAAAGAATGAAAAAAATTCCCTCTGTCCCTTATCCTGAACATATTTTATGCATTCAAGGGAGGAACTGGGGGGAAAGGAAAAAGAACAAGATGATGGGAAGCGAACTGTTCAGTAGATGGCTCCAACAAAGGCTACCAAGATACCAAGAACGCCAGACTAAGAAGGCGCGCCGACACTGACCAAATGGGTGGGTGCAGCTCCACTCGGATGGACGAGTCAGGCCCCGGGGCTGCTTATCTGCCTTCTAGTTCCCCACTGCTCTGGTCCTAGTTTTAATTTGTAAACTACCTTGGTCTTGATTTCTTAGTTTTTGTTCCACTGTATATTTATTATATCTGCCTTAAATTCTTTGTGAAGTCAAGGAAATATTTCATAATATTATGTATGTAGGTGTGTGTAAATATAAATCAAGAGAAGCACACACTTTCTTACCTTAGATACCAAGAGGAAGTTACCGTTTTTTTAAAATTGGGGAGTGAACCCAGAGCCTTTGCAATGAGCTGCATTTCCAACCCATTTTTTATTTTCTTCCCCTTTTTTTTGGTACCGGGGATCGAACTCAGTCGTTTTTTATTTTTTATTTTAACTCAGGGTCTTGCTAAGTGACCCAGGCTGGGCTTAAACTTGTGATCCTCCTGCTTCAGCCTCTCAGAGTGCCTCACTGAGACTCTGCCATCATTCCCAATGCAAGTTACCAATTAACTGCTATCTAGCATCAGTCAGTAGTTAGTTGGTGGACTCTAAATACTGTGGATACTTGAAGGCAGGAAGCGTAACCTCACAACCATAACATGGCAAGAAGTTTGCTAAATGACCCAGAAATGGTCTAAGCTACTCATGTGGTATTTCAGTCTAGACATCCAATCACTAAGATATCAATTGGTATAAACTTGCAGAGTTAAATGTATCATCTCATTTATTTTTATATTATAGTTACATCTCTACTTCCGATACATATGATCTTAAAATAAATATTTTGTAAAGATTATACATAGATACATGAAGCTAACGAAGCAATAGAAAGTGAATGTACTGGATGCTATAATGGAAAAAAGCACAAGATGAAATTTCAAAACTAGAAAAAGTACTTCTTGTTTTTGGGATAATCTAAAATTCTGTATATAGTCAGTTGTTACACATATTCCACTAAACTTGAAGGCAACTCTAATACGTATGACGTACTTCCCAAGTGTAATTTACACCTGTGTAGATTACCATTAGAATTGAGCCATTAGGAATTCATAAAAAGGAGAAATCTCTTTACTACTTCCTCCTCCTTTTTTTGAGAGACCAAAGTTATGTTGTAAGTCTCCAATTTTTAAATTTTTCAAAGATCAGATAAAAACACTTTCAAAATGTAAAATATACAGGGCTGGGGATTTAGCTCAGTGGTTTCACCGCCTGCTGTGCAAGCGCAAGAACCCCAGTTTGATCCCCGGTACAAAAAAAAAAAAAAGTAAAATATACAGTCTTCTATCTTCTATAAGAGAGTAGACCATTCAAAGGCTTAAATTTTCAGGTCCTTTTGGACATTCCAGAGTGTCTCCGCACTCCTCTTGAAAAGGGCTTCCTCCTGAGAGTTTAAATTGACTTTCACGATATCTGAGACACCATTCTGCCCCAAGATACAAGGGACACTGAGAAAGATTTCTTCCTTTATTCCATGTAAGCCCTGAAAGATAAGATGAGATTACTGATCAGTGTCCCGATATGGGACAGTGGCTGTGCAAGAGAACTTCTGGAAAAGGGTACAGAGAGATTACAGTGCTCAAGAAAAATCACCCGGAGGACAGCAGTTATTGTCAAAAAAACCAAGAACATTCTGAAGTCCTATGACCATATGGAACTTAGCTCAGTGACACAAAGAACATGCCAGTGGCCTTTAAAAGGACCAAGAAAGAGACAGTCGATTTTGCCCCTTCCTTACCCATCCATCTTCACATCCGAGGGGAAGGATCCTGTGCAGTCCTTCATGAGGCCATTTTATCTGATAAAGGACTGAGACAAATCAGCCTGCGTTTGTATATCAAGGGCACAGTAAAGACCAAAGTAGAAGATGAAGCTTTGTGCCTGTTCGGCCAAGGGGACCAGTGAGGTTGGAGAGCACACGCTACCTCAAGCCTCTGGGTGGGAAGCCCGCAATAGTGGCTATGGACATTCCAGTGCTTTGTTTTGTTTTTGTGGTACTAGAGATTGAACCCAGGGCCTTCACAGTGAGCTATATCTCCTCAGCCTTTTATTTTATTTTATTTTATTTTTGAGATAAGATCTTGTTAAATTGCTACACTGCCCAGATTGGGCTACAGTTTGTGATCCTCCTGCCTCAGCCTTCCAAAATTACAGGTGTGCACCTCCACACCTGGCTGCCTATGGCACTCTTAACATGCCAAGCAGAGCCTTGCCACAGAATGTACTTCTGCCCTTCTGCGTCCCTAACTATGGCCTCTAGCTGAGTTCTACCTGGGACCACCCATGACAGACAGGGCCATGGGATAGGTGCAGTCCCTACCCCTGCTCTACCCTGGGCCTGTGGAACCTCTGGTTAAGTGGCCCCAGTGTTTCTTCCATTCCTGCAGCCAAAGCCAAAGCTATAAGCAGCTACGAGAGGCTGTCAGGACCTGGGCAGGCACAGGCTGCATATCTGCCTGCGTGGCCACTTCTGCTGGGTCTGTTCTGCTCACCCACATCCTGGGCCTGGAAAATAAGAAGACCCTTGCCTCCACCACTCAACACTCTTTTACCCCTCCTCTTGTGGGTGGAGCTAGGTTTGTGAGAGGAAATGGGAGGGCTTTCCTCCAGCTCTGACTGTAAACAGCTGCCATGAACTGGGTATGGTGGCACACTCCTGTAATCCCAGCACTCAGGAGGCCGAGTCAGGAGGATCACAAGTTTGAGGCCAGCCTGGGCTACATAGCAAGAACCTGTCTCAACTGCACCACCCCCAAAAGCCCCCAAAAAGCAACAACAACAGGGACAGTGCGCAGTGCCTCCCAGCTTCCTGCACCAGCTCAGAGTCCTCAGGCGCTGTTCAGCCTGTGGCCCTCTCCCCATCTGGGGCCTTCCTCAGGGGCACAGGGTGTGCCCCTTTTCTCTTTTGCACAAGTAGATTCTCCCTGCAGACAAAGTCTAGCTGCCTCCTCTGCCCCAGTCCAGTGCCCTCATTTTGATAGCTGCTCTACACTCAACTATGTGAGTTCCAGCCACCACCACTGAGGCCCCTGCCGGGCCGTACTCACATTCCCTACTCTGTTCCATGCCCGGATGTGGAAGGCCACTGTCCTGCCAGGCTGCTGGTCCACACTCCATGTAGCCAAGTCCCACCAGTCACACTTGCCTCCCTTTCCTTTCCCTCCCTTAGTCATTCTGTGGCCTCCTCTGTGCTGCCTTTGGAGCCTTAACATGAGCTTCTAAAGGTCGGGTGCCATCAGGGCCAAGGCCCTTCTGCTCCCCTCCAGAGTTTCCTTCCCTTGTTTCTTTCCACTTCTGTCATCTCTCTCCCCTCTAGAAGGGTAGAAGGGTGTCTTGGGTTAAAATCGGAGAATGCATGTCAATCCCACATGCCATCTGTGGGCCACTGAGTGGTCTGGGTAAAAGCCTGAGAGCCCGAGGGCCTGGCCTGGCACTGCGTCCTGAGTATGACCTGTCGCCAGCTAACTGCTTATCTTCTCTCTGAGCTTCACTCCTGGTTGGTAATAAGCCCCTTCCATGCACTAAAAGTTGCTCTCATTTGTTCTTGGACTGGCCACAAAATAGATGACTATTTAAAGAAAATTCTCTATTTAGTAGACTAAAAATAATCCAGTTCATATATTAATGTGAAAAAACTCTGAATCTTGATTTGTTCACTGAAAATTTGAAGTAGTAGCAATGAAGTAATTAGAAAAAAAAGAAAGAATAAGAATGTACAGGGCTGGGGATTTAGCTCGGTGGTTCTGCCACCTGCCTCAGAAGCACACGGACTTGAGTTCGATCCCCGGTACCAAAGAAAAAAGTGTACAACTCTTTGTTCTCACTGTGAGAGCATTTCCTATAAAATAGCTTGTCTGTTGATTGTTAAGGTGACTGAATCCTCACGTTCAAAATGGAAAATGTCCTATCATGATGGCTTTTGAAAGAAAAAATAAGTAAAATAAATGGGGAGAGATCAGAGATGTGGCTAACATTTCACAATGCACAGAACAGCCCCCCACAATGCAAAGTTATTGCTGAAATGTCAAGAGTATCAAGGTAAAATAAACCCTGGTGTTCTCCATTCTTACTTACTGACCAGCTCCTGCCAAGGCTATCAGTGACCTCTGTCACTTTATTCTACTGAAATTTTAAATCCTCCCTTTATAACACTTTACAATATCAGTCATCAACAGAAGATAAATTTTTGATCTTAAAGTATCCTCTTTTCTCTCGGTTACCTTATTCCATGCTCTCTTCATTTAACTCTGTGGTCACAACTTAGCCAACTTTGCAGACTCATACTATACATGTAACTTTTGATACTGGAAGACCTAAAGCCTTCTTCTCACCTTGAATGCTTTCCTTAGCCAAGCTCACTAAAATTCATGATTTTATTTACCCTAAGCAAAGGATATCTATTGTCTTCCTGTCTAACACCTCTTTTTTTGTTGACAGACCACTCTTTTCCTTTTGGCATCTGCCCCCCTCCTCCTTACTGACCAGTATCATAGGAATGGATATGAAAGACCGATTGTCTGGAAATTAATGCAGACAAAAAGACAGGTGGCATCCTGAGATGGCAGCCCTTACGCATATGGCCACTGGGAGCCATCTTTGCTGTGCCACCAGCCCAGGCTTATTTTTAATTTTGAGGCAAGGTCTGTCTAAATCGCTCAAACTGACCTTGCCGGAACTGGGGTTGCAGGAGTGCATCACCACACCCCGAAGAGTCTGTCTTTTGGGTTCATCATTATATCCTCAATATCATGTAGGATACCTAACACACAGAAGGGACTCAATATATATTAGAGGAAAGAATGATAAATCAATTTTTTATTTCAGCCTACCTTAACCAGAGTGGAAACTGGATGTACTTTGCTAAGATTTTTCAGAACTGATCCGACCAGATTTGTCACAGACAGCCCAATAGCCCAAGAGGTAGAGCCCTTCAGCTTGATGACCTCATAGGCACTGCAGTTGCAGAAAGCAAAGAAATCAGATTTAGGAGAAATCAACTCAGAGGAAGCATAATAGTCTTCAAGCATCCATCTTGAAGTAATCTATATGTCACTATTAAAATTTTCTCAGAGATTTCTCTTAGAAGTTATTTATGATTATTATACTATTATGGTATCTTAAAATATAAGATTCTCATAGATTTTTATGATTCACTTTAAATAAGAATCAATTCACCCTTCTTTAACCATAAAGACAGAATACAAGGAGATATGTGCCAGTCAAGATAAATCAGTTTCTAATATTTTTGTACTGTTGCTTAAATATCCAAACATAGAATCTGATTACAATGAAAGTTATAAGGGCCAGGGATTTAGCTCAGCGGCACCATGCCTGCCTTGCGAGCGCAAGGTCCTGAATTCGATCTCTGGTACCAGAAAAAAAAAAGAAAAAGAAAGTTTATATAGTCATTTAAAATTGCTACTGATGTGCTGATATAACTTCATACAGTTGTGTAAGCTATCTGTACATATTCTTTCTAAGAATATATTATCCAATCCTTAATAAATATGTAATGCAAAAATATTTGGAGTTTTTTTTGTTTTGTTTTGTTTTGGTACTGGGGACCAAACACTGGACCTTGCGCTTGAAAGGCAGCCGGCGGAACCACTGAGCTAAATCCCCGGGCCTGTAATATATTTTTAAAGAAAAATAGAACAGTCCTTTAAATATCAGGCATTTTCTTCTCCCTGGGCTATAAAAACATGTTTTTGTTTTGTTTTTTTGGTACCAGGGATCTGTTGTGCCCAGATTGCGAAGTCCCAAAGACCACCAGGAGGCCGTTTCCGATGTAAGCACACGAGGGTCGTTTATTCAAGCTTAAGCAGGGACTCTCAATTGTCACCGACACAGCGGATCGCGATTGAGAGCCCCGAGTTCCAAATTAGCGGGGTTTTTATAGAGGTTACAGCAAGGTTTGGAGATTTTCCACTTAGCAATTACAATGAATGGTCGGCGCTTAACATGCATGAAGTGTACATTTCTGATTGGCTGAACTCATCAGGGGTGAGGGGTGATTGCGTATAGGTTTTACAAAAGAAAAGAAGGACAAAGGTTAGTGGGCGACTGTCACATACTGATGGTCAGCAGACACCCTGACTAATAGTCACGACCACCCTGTGTGGATAGGCAGCATATCCACTGATTGTTCTATAGATAGTGGGCCCAGAACATTTGTTTTTAGGGTAAACAGATGGCTGAGTAATAAACTTAGGAATCTTGTCCTGTTACAGATTGTGTCTTCTGTCTCAGAGCAAACACATTTTAACCATTATTTGTGTGAGGGTAATAAAAACCAGGGAGAATGGAAGATTTTAACAAAATGGAGTCGCTTTGGTCTCACAGATCGAACTCGGGTCCTTGCGTTTACGAGGCAGGTGGCGGAACCGCTGAGCTAAATCCCCAACCCTTAAAAACATAAGTTTTATGGCAACTTTAGAATTACATCATCCAACTTATTAATAATGATTATTTTGGGGACCGGGGATTTTAGCTCAGTGGTTCTACCACCTGCCTCGCAAGTGAAAGGACCCTAGTTCATCCCCGGTACCAAAATAAAAAATAAAAATAAACAAACAAAAAATAATGATTATTTCTAGTGAAAAGCTTACAGGTAAGCCTTCTTTATGTTTTTCTGAATTTACATATTTTCTACAATAAATATATATTGTACTTTTGTGTTGTCAGTGATCTGAGGTTTAGAGAAATTCACAGGACAAGGAGGTTTTAAACTTAGCACAGAGTTTATTTAGCTCTGAGAAAGGATACAGGAAACACAGGATGTACAGCATGGTCACTCATGTCAGGAGATCGTATACCACACAGGCACAATTTTAAGGCCCCTCGAGTGCACATCACATACTTGGTTGCATAAGGCTGAGGTATATATGGACATCTTCGGCACAGGGAGGTTGATTCAGAACTGTGCCACTTGTGTTGTCCTGTGATTTGACTGCCAATTCAAAAACAGGGCCACTATTTGAAGTCATGCTGATTTGATGTCAGAAGTACTTTTAGGAATGGGAGTGTAGCTCAGTGATACAGCCCCTGCCTAGGATGAACAAGTTCCTGATGCTGACATAAAAAAGTGTTCTAAGAGGCTCAATTCAATATGACCAAGACTGCAGGGTATGTAACTGCCTACAGACAAGCTGACTGATGGCACCATCTATGAGGTGAAATAAAGCTCTGCTGTACAACGGCGACAGATCTTACCAGAGGAAGCTGGAGGACATATTTATCCTCTCAGGAATACTCAAAATGGATTGAAAGGAGAAGAAATTTGAGGAAAATGGCGGAAAAGTGTAATCCATTGGCCGCTATTTACCATGCTGATGAAAATAAAACTTTGGGGGCGAGCATGGCCCAGGCCGCCATGGTGGTGCTGTGCGCCTGCGCCAAATGCCACCAGTGCTTCCCTCTGAGGCGCTGTCTCGGGCAGCAGCTGTGCAAGAGAAGTGGAACTGTACAGCCTGTTGTGAAGTGCGCCTACTGCCAGACAGTACCAGCAGGTGAGTAAAACCAGCACAATATGCAAGAAACGTGCTCAGAAAGTACAGTTGTCTGGAAGCCCAAACCCTGCCAGTATTGCAACATAATTGCACAACTCAGAGAAGCGTGGACCACCATATTCCTGTGAACAGTGCAATAGCAGTGTGCCTTTGACAGAAATGATGATAGGAAGAAGGTGGACGGGAGGTCGCTGTGCTGGCCGTGCTCACTTTCATACCAGTGTGCCCCTCAGAAGGCCAAAGAGCAGAGGCAGCACCTGAGCAGCTCTTCTCATGCCCGCCCCAAGGAAAAGGGGCGTACAGTCACCTGAGTGGTGGTTGCCATGATAGCAGCCAGAAAATACTTTCTACATCTGCAATTCAAAATTAAATCCCAAAGGAAAAAATCCAAGTTTGAATCAATCGCAACTAATGGAGACAGCCTTTACCCAGAACTGGCTCTAGACTCACCAGGCACTAACCACTTCCTTCGTCCAGCTGAAGGAAGAGGTGGCTGCTCTGAAGATATTGCATCAAAAGGATCAGATGATTTTAGAGAAAAGATTAGAGTTAAAGGCTGATTTTCAGTACCAGGAATCTCAGATGAGTTTCAAGATGAACCAAATAGAGAAAACCCACAAAAAAGACACAGAACAATTGCAAGCCAAAACCTGAGAGATCCTGAAGCAGGCAACTGCCTTGCCCAAGAGAAAAAGTCTGAAGAGTCAGGAGCTATACCTCTCCATGACAGACCACAGGCTGCTCTCCCAAAACAGCAGATGGAGTCATCTTGGGTTAGGGTTGGAGACCAACTTGTTCTCTGGGAACTGCAAGCTTTCTTAAGAAATCTCTATTTTATTGCAGTTTTCCTTCTTTGCGCACTTTGCAGCGGGTTTAGGAAACATGGTTTGTGCTGTTATGACTGCATGCTTGAGGGTTTGGGTTTCAGGCTTGCCTCTTCTTTCTCTCATCCTGGTCCTTCTAGTCTTCTTCCTCTACTTTCTCCCTCTTCTTTCTCCCTTTCTTTCCCTCTTCCCTCCCCTTCTCCTCTCCCTTCTCTTCCTCCTCTTCTTCCACTCACTCTTTCCTCTCTCTTCTCTCTCTCTCTCCTCGCTCCCTTTCTCTCCCTCCTTCCCTCCCTCCTTTTGTCTCCGTTTTGGTACCACTATTTGGGGTTTTTTGTGATGGTCACTGCTCAGTGTTATGTGCAAAATGACTGTTCTCTGTCCCTCATTGCATCCTGCCATATCCATGAGCAGATAGTGTGCCACTAATAATCAATCCCTTCCACCTCTGAACTTTGAAAACTGCAACCTTAAGACTAGTACAATGATAAGATGAGATCCCAGTTGTTGATTTTTTGTGTTATTTCCTGTGCAATGAGGGTTTTGTTCATGAAGTCTTTGGCTACACCTATGACTTCAAAAGTTCTACCTATTCTCTCTTCCAGTACATTTAGTGTTTCTGTTGCAATATTTAGATCTTTGATCCTTTTTTTTTTTTTTTTTTAGGTACTGGGGATCAAACTTGGGAACTTGTGCTTTTAAGGCAGGAGCCAGAACTACTGAGCTAAATCCTTGGCCCAATCTTTGATCCATTTTTATTTCAGTTTAGTGCATGGTGAGAGACATGGTTCTAGCTTAGTTTTCAGTATGTGGACAAGCCAGTTTTTCCAGCACCATTTATTAAAGAGGCTATCTTTCTTCCAGTGAAGGTGTTTGGCTTCTTTATCAAAGATAAGGTGACTGAGTGTGTTTGGAGTTGTTTCTGCATCTTCTAATCTGGTCCATTGATCCTCCGGTCTGTTTTTTTTGTTTTTGTTTTTGTTTTTTTGCCATGTGTTTTTATCACAGTAGCTCTGTAGTATAATTTCAAGTCAGGGATTGTGATGTCCCCTGCTTTGCCTTTGTTGCCCAGAATTGTTTTTGCTATTCTAGATCTCTTCTGGTTCCAAATTAATTTTAGGAGTGTTTTCTCTAGTTCTGTGAGGTATGCTATTGGTATTTTGATTGGGGCTCCATTAAATCTGTATAACAATTTTGGGAGTATGGCCATTTTCACTATATTGGTCCTTCCAACCCATGAGTAAGGCATGTCTTTCCCTTTTCTTTCTTTCTTTTTTAATCTTTCCATTTTCTGATATCCTCTTTTCTCTTCTTTTTCAGAGTACTGTAGTTTTCCATGTAAAGGTCTTTTACTTCCTTTGTTAGATTGATTCCTAAATATTTCATTTTTTTATGCTACTGTGAAAGGCATGGCTTCCCTAATTTCTCTTTCAATGAGTTTGTTATTTGTGTACAGGAATGCTATTCAAGTGTTGACTTTGTGTCCAGCTATGCAACTGAATTTGGTGATAAAATCTAGAGGTCTTTTGTTGGAGGTTTTGGGGTCTTCTATGTAGAGTATCATGTCATCTGCAAATAATGATAGTTTAACTTCTTACTTTTCTGTTTATTTCTTTTATTT